TAGAAAAATTTTTTTCTTATGATTCACAGGTAATATATTACTCACTCCTCCCTTCTGTCATTCCTGTTCAAGTTGTCTGAAGATTCATGAGTATGAAACTCAAGATACAACTAAAGAAATCCTTTCAGAGGATTTAACATTGATAAGCATTTTTTGCTCAGTCTAGGCAATCTCGGCTTCATGGATTTTATTTTATTGAGTAGGTAAGTTTGCCTTAGGCTCTTTCGTTTTCTTTTTTCAGTATTGTCATTTTTAATTGAGACTGTATCTGGATAAGAGTTTTAGGTTTTGGTTCTATCAACAGTTTTTGTTTTTCTTAATATATATATATATATATATATATATATATATATAGAAATGAAAAAACTTGGTAATCTGTATAGGTAGTCCCAAGGAGGATGAAATCCTGAGAGCTCAATGTAAATCCAGAGCTAATATTTTAAAGAAAAACAGAAGTTAATAGCAATCAGATGATATCTTTTCACTTTCAAATTGAAAGTGAAAAGATATCATCTGATTATTATTAATTTCATAGTTTAAAAATTAAAAAACAAAGAAACTCAAACTTGTGTAACCACTAAAAATAGCATTTATAGTAAAAGGAAATAATGTTGACTAAAAGATCCATCCACAAATTACTGTTACTTACATTTTGGGTACAAAATTGAAGCTAGCAGAAATAGATTCATAGAAATTCTAACAAGAAATGTGCTTTTCTTAAATAGGTAATTCAAACCTTGCTCTGTCAAGGTGTACTGTGGCCAAACTGGTAGCAGCACATTTTGGCAACAGAAGCAATTTCCAGAAAAAAATAATGTCATACAGGTTTGATTCTTGTCAGAGACACAATTTTTACTTTAAAGCTTCTCAATCTAGGAAAGTTGTTATTAATTTCACTGTTTAAAAAAGTAAAAAAAGCAGGGATAGCAACATAAATACATGGACCCACTAAAAATAATATTTATAGCAATAAGAAATATATATTTCTATAAAAAAAGTAAAGACAAGAGTAAAACTTTATATGTCGAAAAATGTTTTGTTCATCAAGGAACTTTATCAAGCCAAATATAAAAATTTTAATTTGTAACTATCTTTATTTTGTTTCACCCCAATAAAGGTGATAATGTCACTGGCTTATAGGGAGTGAAAAACCAATGAGAAGACTACAATAAAGGAACAGGGTTCAAGAAGACAAAAGATGGCGATTGATGTTGCATTTAAATTCTCAAAGATTGTAGGTGGCAAGGAAGCAAGAAATTGGAAGAAAGTTCCACAGGTTAGAAGTGCGAGAAAAGAAACTGTTAGAATAGGATTTATGGTTACATCTAGCTATTTCAACAGAAAAATGGTGAGATCTAGTTGCCAATCTAGTTGCATGGAAAAAAGTTCATCAGAACAGTTGCCATGAAAATCTTTGTAGAAAAGATAGATGGGAGCTATGCCATGTTGGTGAGAAAGTGACTGAAGTCAAGATGCCAGATCAGGATCGAATATATTGCAGATCCTTCTTTGAATTTTGTCAAGAGCCTAGAGATGAACAGTATCAGACCAAATATGGCAGCAGTATTCAATGCACAGACAAATGGTAGATTTATAAATGTGCAAGATAGATTCTGGCGAGAAAAATTTTCTGGAATGACACAGTGAACGAACTTTCCTTGTAGTAGATTACTTCAATAGAATCAATCCACTTCATGTCAGTGGAAAACATGAACCCAAGAAGTCGCAAAGCGTTGCTCTCCTGGAGGTTAGCATCAGTCATAACAGACAGAAAAGGTGATTAGATGAAAGCAGTTTTGTTTTAGGAGGTCTTAAAATTTACAAGCCATTCCTTGTCTCAGTTAACCACTATTGGGGGTCCTTTTCAAGAACACTTGCCAGGTTTACTTTGTCAGGTCTGTCTAACCTGCTACTAAGATATGAGTAAATGGTCCTGTAGAAGTAACATGAAAAAAAAAAGACAGGGCTCTTTAACTGTGATTGGTAACCTATATAGGAGAAAGGGATCTCTGAATTCAAAACTGTCTGTGGCCCTGTTGTGGCAAATATTTGAACTGTAACTAAGGTCTGCTCAGCATAGTTATAGTATAACCACAGTTTTTAACCACAGTTTGGCTCTGTGGGTTTTGAAGAAACGCAGATGGGCCTGCTTAAAAATGAGCAGCCATGCTGAAGATGAGAAATCAGACTGATTTGTAATATGCCTTCAAGTTGAAGCAGTTCTTATGATGAATGTGTGTGTGTGTGAAAAATAGGTTTAATTGACGGAGAAGGTTTTTAGTACAGAATAGACTTATCACCAAAATGAAATAAATTTCTTTTTACTTACTGTTTACAATGAGTAGAGATCTCAGTGTCAGTTCATAGCAGAATAAAAAAATGATGTCTATGTGCATTGCTGTATTACAGTAATATTTCCATCGATCAATATTGGTTCCTCTTCCTTAGGTGCCATGTGTGATACACGCTTGGGTGATCATGTCTCTTTTCGCTTCATGATTGACTTGGAAGAAGAATTTCGACAGTAGGCTGCTGTTACTTTCTGCAGTAGATTGCTATAGGACCCAGTCTGTCCTACTATTTAACCCATATCTGGGGAGAGAAGATATGGATTCATACCTTTCCCAAGGGTATTTGCATGTAAGTGAATGTAACAAATTAGAATTCAAACTCTAATTTCTCATTCCAAGACATTATTCATTACACCATTTGCACATCCAAGCTTACAGCACCTGGTATTCACAAGCAGTCATCATTCTAAGTAATGACCAGACTGAATGTTGCTTAACCGGTAATTTGATGAGAACTGGTTTTTCGATGGTTACCTGCAGCAAATTGGTAATTATACAAGTATTAACCCTATTCTGCTAAAAAGCCTTGCCTTAATTCCTGACCACTGACAATATGGTTTTTCCAAATTTTCAATTGCAGAATATACAGATAGAGATTCAAAACTTGCTGAAATAAATGTTTTAAAAATTAGAAAAATTTGGTGTTTTTTTGTTAATTCATCAAGTGCAATTATTTCCCTATTGCCAGAAATATTAGAGCAGAAAATGACTTAAGCAAGGGGATAAAGCCACTAAGACATAAAAAGGTTACTAGAAGAGGAAGAGAATGAGAAAATGTTAGGAGGACAAAAGGACAGGTTTCTGGAAGAGAGAAGATCGTGATTGGTGTTGCATTTAATTCTTTGAAGATCATAGGTTGCAGGGAAGCAAGAAACTGGAAGAGTTCTAAAAGCAAGAAAATAAACTATTAGAATAGAACTTCTGATTACATCTAGTTAATATGACATTAAAATGATGAGACCTAATTGCCAATCTAGTAGCATGCTTAAATTCCTACAGTCAAGGTACCAAAGAGGAAAGATCATCTGAATAATTGCCATGAAAATATTTATAGAAAAGACAAAGGGAAGCTATGTCATAGTAGAGGGAAAGTAAGTGAAGTCAAGATGCCAGGTCAGGACCAATTAAATTGCAGACCATTCTTTGGATTTTGTTAAGAATCTTGAGATATATAGCAGAAGCATCAGACAAGATATGGCAACAATATTCAATTTATGAATGAATGGTAGACTTATAAATGTGCAAGATGGATTCTTGACAAGATAATTTGTCTGGCACAACACCAACTTTCCTAGCAGTAGATTCATGGGTTACTGAGAGTGAAAGAATATGAGAAAAAGGACAATAAAGATCACGTTCAGGAAGACAGGAGATAGAGATTTATGTTGCATTTAAATCTTCCAAGATCATAGGTGGCAGGAAAGCAAGAAACTGGAAAAGAGTTCTACAAGCAAGAAAAACTATTAGAATACAACTTATGGTTACATCTAGCTATTTCAACAGTAAAACCATGAAATCTACTAGCACGCTTAAATTCATACAGTCGAGGTAGCAAGAAGGCAAGCTCATTAGAACAATTGCCATGAAAATATTTATAGAAAAGACCGAGGGAAGCCATGTGATGGTGGTGGGAAAGTGACTGAAGCAGAAATAGCAAGTCAGGACAGATTACATTACAGATCGTTCTTTGGATTTTGTCAAGAATCTCAAGATATATAACAGGGGCAGCAGACCAGAGGTGGTGACAATATTCAATGTACAGACAAATGTTAGATTTATAAACTTGAGAGATGAATTCTGGCATGACACAGTGAACCAACTTTCCTAGCAGAAGACCTAGCAATTGATTCAATATAATCATTCCACTTCATGTCATGGAATAAAAGTCACTGAGCACTGATAAGAAAAACCCAAACAATACTTTCAGATACAAAGTTAAAATACAGTTGGCACAAACATACAGCAATGAATATTGTTTTATTATTTGTATGTGTAATGATTAGAATGTTTTAATGTATTTAATAAATCCTACCCATGATATCACAGGTTACATAAACAATCAATTCAAATGATAAAATCTACTTCCTTCTTTTCATAATGTATTTTTATAATAAAATAAATTTCAATGAATTTCTAGAAATGCTTTTAGTATTTGCTATTGTTAGAGTGAATGAAAGTTTTTATTCATTTGCTTAATAAATTCTACCCATGATATCACAGGTTACATAGTCGGATAATAATGATAAAAAAAGAAAGAAAAAAATGGAAAATTAAGTTTTTTTTTTTTTTTTTTTTTTAAATATATTTATATTTTTTTCTTGTTTTATTTTTTGTTGGCAAATCTGCAAACCAACCTCAAAAAAATAAAAAAAAAATAAAAAAAAAATATTTTTAACACATTGGCAAATAAATATGATTTCAAATTAATAAATCTTTATTCTTTTAAAAAGAAAAAAAAATCTTTGTCTTTAACTTGTCCAGTTTGGCTAAAGTGTAGCCAATAGGGGCCAACACTAAAACCATAAGTCCTTTACACATAATTACAAATGAACAAATGACCCATAAATAGTGAGCCAATGGTCATTAGTTGGGAGAGAAGAGGGGGGAAATAGAAAAAAAACAACAATGGCGGGGGTGTATCAATTAATATTAAAGTTCCATAACACCTTCTGAGTCTTCATGATCTTCTCGTTTTCCACCTTTGTCTGCCTTCACTGACTTTCGCTTTTTACCTTTTTTCTGTTTAGTGTTTGATCGATTCCGGAGTCGTTTTTCCTGAAAGTAGGTTGGAAAAATGATTTAAGTGATTTGTTCCAAATGGAAAACAAAAAGATAAATTATGCATGGTAGCATTTTGTTTTTTTCTCTTTCAAATGGAGATGAAGCCATTAATTAATAACTAATTAAAAAGGTTTAATCTGCATATAACTGATGATATTAGCAATTTGGACTTGTGATGGTAAACTTTGTAATCAATAATCATTACTTATAATAATAATAATAAAATAAACTTCACAAACAAGTTTTCTGGATAAAATACAGCTAGGATTTTCAGTTTATAAATGAAAAAAAAAAAAAGACAAAAACTATAATTTTTAAAATATATCTTTTTCTCATTTGGTATGAATCTTGACTCAAATTGTATAAAATTTAATTAATTAATTAATGGCGACAGAGTCAAAAGTCATGCACCATATTAAATATCTCAAAAACTATAGAAAATATAAGCAAGAAAATTCCTAACATTAATCTCGTACAACTAGCATCAACAGCAATTATAGCCCGTGTGATGAACTTGGCTTAACAATTATAGCCCGTGTGATGAACTTGGCTTAACAATTATAGCCCGTGTGATGAACTTGGCTTAACAATTATAGCCCGTGTGATGAACTTGGCTTAACAATTATAGCCCGTGTGATGAACTTGGCTTAACAATTATAGCCGATGTGATGAACTTATTTAACAATTATAGCCCGTGTGATGAACTTGGCTTAACAATTATAGCCAATGTGATGAACTTATTTAACAATTATAGCCCTGTGATGAACTTGGCTTAACAATTATAGCCCGTGTGATGAACTTGGCTTAACAATTATAGCCCGTGTGATGAACTTGGCTTAACAATTATAGCCCGTGTGATGAACTTGGCTTAACAATTAAATGTTATTGGCCTACTAATCAGTTATATTCAGGTGGTGTAAGGGTTAGTGATTTGGGATGAGAGATTAGTGAACTGAGTTCAAATTCTGGTTGAGTTTGTTACATTTGACTTTCACACAAATACCCTTGGAAAAGGGTATGAATTTATCTCTTCTATCCCCGAGCTATGGGTTAAATAGCAGGGTAGGCCATGCTCCATCTCGGAGAAGGAAAATATAAATTCAAAACCATATATAGCACATATTATGAAGCCAACAAAAGAATTGTAGAGTTCATGTCACTATGATCCTAACTGTTGTCAACCTGAAGAATAGTCAATCAGTGACATTGATACAGAAGAAATTAATTTTAACTTATGCTGGGAAAGTTTCACAAATTAAAATCTGGTCTTCCTGACATTATCCACTGAATAATAATGAATATTTTCAATTGTTTCACATCTTGATGATGTCCAAATGGCAGTACCTGGGATCCTCTAATAGTAATAAAACTATTTCGATGTCATCACTTTGTCTCAATTTTACATAGTGAAAACTTTTACTACATGTTTAACACCTGCTAGGTGTCAATCATGTAGAAAATCAAGATGTTGAATATGATAGAAACAATTACAGATCAGGATCGTATTTTAGATAAACTTATAGGAAAACATCATTAAGTATTGCTTTTTACTCAACAAGAACATCCCCCAACCACCCTGAGATAAAGTTATTGAGGTCAACACACACACACACAAATTGAATGGAATTGACACATGATGCTGCTACTTGGAGGCTCAGCATTTTTATATATGAAAACTAGCATTCAACAAGATAAAATGTCTTGCGGAAGAAAAAAATCATAGCAACAGGATTAATTCACAATGTTCATCCAAATTAGCAGCAGCAGCAATAAAGACAACAATATTATGTAGTAGATGACACATTTAGCTGAGAAAGGTTGAAATATGGACCGGTTGGAATACTGTGGAAAAAACAAACAAGAAAATAATAATTTCTGTCTGAATTTCTGGGATGAAGAGTTAACATTATTTATATCTGGACTAATATTCTCATCTTTGTAGTTACTATCAACTTTTGTGCTGCTTTGCCCTTCCATTTCTTCAGATGTCTGTTGATCCAGATAACTTTGGGGGAAATTCAAACAAAACCCTGTATTTAATGGGGGTAGATGATTTGTTTTCATTTTGCTGTCCATAATGATGGGATATTCCTAGACGTGGTCAGCAGAATGAGAACACTACCATGATAGATTAAATACAGGTTTTTTTTTTTTTTTTTAAAAATGTTCTGAAGCTTACCCAGATCGGTAGACACCTGAAGAAGGTTGGTCGGTAGAATAACAAAAACGTTTTGATAATAGAAAAAAAGATGATGACATTTACATTGTTCAGACTGTTGTTCTCATCTTTATTGTTATATTCACAACATTTCAGCTGTTGTACGCTCCGGTCTTTTTCAGGTGATTGGAATTTCAAACTGAAACCTTTATTTTGTCCATTGGAAGTAGATTGTTCTAGTTCCACATGCCATGGCTCTTCCAGACGTCTCGGTTATCTCCCTTTAACTCAACCCTCCAAGTTCATCACTGCAGTAGCCAGGTATTGAACTCACAACTCCAACCAATGTCTTTATCCACTGAACCATGCGTCCTTGAGGACATCAGTATATGAAAATTTTTTATGACTTATAAACCTAATGTCTCAGTAACCATTTTTTTTACCAGAGCTCATATTGCTGAAACGTTGTGAATATGGCAATAAAGTTGAGGACAACAGTCCGAATAATGGAAATAATTACAATATCTCATCTCAGAAATATAGACAGATAAAGATAATGACATTAGTCCAAATGTAAATAAAGAGAATAATAATTCTAAAAATTTAATTACAAACCAAAATGCAGTTTAAAGGGTAGGGGCTCTTTCTCTTGAGATTTTCTTAAAAAACTCATCAAGATTCTAAGTATAAAAATTAAATTTTCTAAGTTAAGCTCTATATAAGTAGTTAGCTAAAATTATAGAAGAAAAATAACAATAATTACAGAATAAGTAAATTAAATATCATATAAGCAAATCAGTAAAGAGAAATACATACATATATATTTAAATTCAGGCAGTATTAGAACATTTTGGAGTAATACGACCTGTGGTAAGATCTGACCTGGCTTCAACTGCCATGGTTGACCTCTTTATATAGATGTTCTAATATCGCATGAATTTTAAAGGTATCTCACAAGAAGAAAATATCCCAATGAAGAGAACATGGATCAGGTTACCAATTATAAAGAAAGGTTAATTATGGCAGTTGAAGCCAGGCCAGATCTTGTTAAATTATCAGAAGATGGTCTAACGTTGGTTGAATTTAAAGATATATCACAAGAAAATGAAAATATTCTGAACCCAAAAATACATATTATATATATCTCCAAATGAGAAAAAGAACAGATGGGGTAAAAATCCACAGTTCATAGCATTTATTTTTTTTAAAAAAGTGCTCAATACAAAGTTGAGCAAAATATTATTTAGTTATCTACCATCACCTGAAGAGGTACCACCTTACTACAAGAACATGAAAGTTTTTGTGTAGCTTTGTAAAATGGTTTTATTCTAATTTATTATAATAAAAAATATATATATATATATATATATATATATATATATATATATATATGAGAGAGAGAGATATCTATATATATATATATATAGAGAGAGAGAAAAGATATATAGATATATATATATTATACACTGTTACATTAGAACATATAAGTAATTACTACAAATTTGTACATTTTGTTTCAATGTTTAAATAAAACGTCTCTTCAGGTAATTAACAATGATGGTAATAAATGATCTTATTTAAAATTGTAATTAATGAAACATCACTTCATTTACATTATATACACACACACACACATTTAGGCAGCATATCTTTATTCAAAAATATTTCATTGAATAATATAGACATTATGTCTATTTATTTTTATAATGATCCTTTCCAGTTTTCTAATCAGTTTCTTGATTAGAAAATGAAATTCATCAAGGAAGGCACCATACTTTTTTTCCTACCCAAGTACTTTTGATCACCCTCAAGATCATCCTCAGGTGTGAATTACAAAGACAAACCTATTGTAACTGTGATGTTATTTTCATAGTGTAGTATACTGGTGTTGTCAAAAAGAATTTTCCTGTATTGTGAAGGTGTACAGCAATGTGTCTTTAAATGTTGTGCAATAGAATTGTATCCAGCAAATGAAGTATCCAAAAAACTAGTTGACAGAGAAGAGCTATTGAATATGATTAAGTTGGTTGAGTTAAATTTAGTATAATATATAATTAGTTTTATTTTTTTTTACTAGGATCAGTAGGGAATATATTGGTACTTATGAGATTTTTTTTTAAACATACACCTTGAAAATACCACAGTTAAAATAAGTTCGCCTTTGTAATTCATCCTTGAAGATGATCTTGGAGGAGATCAAAAGTACTTGGGTAAGAAAAAACTACAGCACCTTCCATGATGAATTTTATCTTAACATCAAGAAACTGATTACAGAACTGGAAAGGATCATTATGAAAATAAATAGACATGATACATCTATATTATTCAATGAAACAAGTTTGAATATATATCTTTTTAAATAATAAACACTAACCCTTTTTGTTACCATGAAGAAACCATTAATTGGTGGAAACCATGGTGGCAGAAAGGATGTAATGTTTATTATTTTAAATATTAAATAGCTCTGCACCTTTGATTTTTTGAACTGAGTATTGAGCACTCTTCTTAATATAGCCATTTCCCAGACAATAAATAATGGTATATTTAGGCAGCAATATTCATTGAAACAAGTTTGATTCAACTGATAAGGTCTGTTTAATTATTTTATTGTATTTTCCCTATTCTTGATATTATAATCGAAGGTTGGAGAAGTGGTGGCAGTTTGGCCTTAAGCTGAGGAATTCCGTTTGTTCTTTAGTGAGTTCATAGTTGGAGAGATTTATAAAGTTGTTGAAAGATTGAGGAAGATATATTTTTCTATTATATAAATTTGGAAATTGGAAAAATACAAAAAAAATCATTAAAAAGACTTTGTTGGTTAAATTTAGTCATACAT